ATTGCCTTTACCTCATTGACTCCATAGCTTTGGAAAATTATAAGTATGTGCATGGAATCGAAAAGTTTGCATATCCGCGCAAATTTGGCGTATGTGAGGTCAGTCTGTTGTGCGTTACATAAGGTATCATGAGAAAAGCGTGGCCACTAAGCCCAGGCAACCGAGCGTTCATAACTACCTCGACAGCGGCAAAATGATTTACACTAGCAATAAAAAATATTCCCTTTTGGGCTAAAACTGGTGAATCCCACGATGAGACAACTTGGAAATATATAGAAAACGTTAGTTCATATTCACTGAAGCTACTAGACGCGATGCCGGTAAGTTTGAACGATATTAGTGCATAAACCTGTGCCGAAATAACCTGCCCACTTTCGGTAAAATTTGCTTGGAAAATATGCCTTGTGTTTTGAAAATTTTCCATAATTTTAGGTCGACGCGGAGTCGGACAATGTTCGAGTGGTTGTCAGATGTCGTCCTATGAATGAGAAAGAAGTAGCTGGTGGATGTGGTTTAGCGGTTAACGTGGACGAAAGCCGAGGGATTATCACCGTGAAAAACCCAAGCGCTCGTACTGGGGAACCACCGAAACAGTTCACATACGACAGAGTGTTTGGCTTAGATGCGAAACAAGTAGATGTTTACAACGATGCAGCCAGGCCGATTGTCAATTGTGTTTTAGAGGGTTATAACGGTGAGAAATGTCGCCAATAATATTAGTTTATTACACTGTTTATCAAAGACGTCAGAAGATGTGGGATCTGCGAAATTTATCCCGCCCCCTTTCATCCAGCACCTCCCCATCCCCGGTTAACCCCCTTGCAATAAATACACCATCGACAACGATTTTTGTTCTTTTCAGTTCAGGGTTATTTTATTCAAAAACTTCATAGTAATCTGTCCCTTAGCCTTCAAGAGGCCATTTTATTTTAGGGAGATGCTGCAAAACTTACAGAACAGAACCATCTGTAATGTCCAAAAAAATACAGTTAAACCTCCCGTAAGCGACCACCTAAAATGTCGAGCCTAGGTGAAGCTTAGACAATGCTGGGTCAAAATTTTGCTTGATCATAAGCATATGATAAAGTGTATTATCGTTTGTCTCACGATGTAGTCTCTTAAGATGTAGATCGCGACGTTTTGACTGCTTACTGCTAGTCTTCTTCAGGTGATAAGGTCGACTGATTACACGGTATCATTTATACCACAAAGGTCGGCTGTGATTGGTGCATTTCGATCCTCCTATTGTTCCATTGTT